ATATTGAACTTGGATCGTCACTGAAACATACACACTTCCAGTCACAGATGCAACCGTGCAAATTGTAATCGGTCCTTACGGTTTTTCCTCGAGATTAGCGGCTTCTTACTCGAACGACGTACATATAACTTCAAATCATTTAATCTTCCACTTATAGTTTTTGTAGAAACACTGACAATTCCTTTTGTCTCGATTTCGGCTTTTGTTTGTCTTGGGGTTTTGAACGGATCTTTGGACAAAATTACTTTTATTAATCTAACTGATCTAGCATTTAGTTTCCTAGGCCGACCACTTCTCTTAGAGGTTTCCAAGATGCCTTTTGTTTATATTTGTTCAATATTGCCAAAACTGCTTTACGCTTCAGCTTCAAATTTTTGGCAATCTTAGTTTTCACATCAAAAGAAATTTCTGGACCATGCGGTATGGTCTTAAAATCACTCAACTTATTCCACAATACTTGATGAACACAAAATAATCCTCTTCGGACACGAAACTGTACTAAACTAATGTTGAAAAGGATTTGTCTACATATTTTTGACTCTCATATAAAAGTGCTTATATTCAGACTTGTATTGTGTTCATTGCAGATAATGTAAAAACAAAGAATTTAGTTTTTCTACTAATAACGCATTTGTTTATGGAGCAATGAAGTATGAATTCATTTACTAAACATATTTAGGTAAATATTCATATTGTCTATATACTTTGTCCATTACTGTATGTCCTAGGGCATAAAGGAGCCTGTCAGATTAATACTGGTATTTAATATCCATAAAAAAGATGATATTTTTCATCACATTCAGCACTTTGTGTTTATTTCAACTCAAATGTATTCTATGATTATACCCTACAGGTTAATAACACCCTTTATTATTATACCCTATATAATTATGGATGCAACAGAGTGTGGATGGGTTATTGGCTCCAAATATTTTTTTAATACTGTAATCAGATATTCATACCACATTAATGTACACAACAGAAGTGTCACTTTAATATATTTTGAACACACACTGATATGATGAAATTATCTTAGTTTCAATCTTATTAATCACTAGAGTGAGAATCTTAAGGATAAGAAATTGAAGTAACTATAAATTTCATATTCATTTACCAAATAAAACTATGTGTTGCTCTTTAGCTCGAAATATTACTATTGAATGATAGTTTGACGTATGATCTTATAGTTTAACTGCACATAAATAACCAGGTCTTTCCTTAATATTGTATCCACAATTTTATTTGTTGTGTAATTTTCATATTTACAAGCTCAGCTTATTTTTACAAAACTGAAATTGGCACATATACAAAAACACAAGTATTTCAATCACAAACACCAATGATACTGCTATGATTAGTCATTGATATTTTGAAATATTCGGCAAGTTCTATGAGTACTAAATCACGAAAGATGACGATTGCGTCATTATTTTAGTCTGCAGTAAAGACAAACGACAGCGATTTGTGAATACTTTTAATGAACTTTCAAATATGCTAGACAGAGACAAACAGAATCTTATCGTCTAAACAAACTGTATTGCTAATTTGCATGTATCCGACAAAGATGGACGATGTTTTCATGTTTATGATCGATCACATTTTAAAGATGAATAGTTAGGTTATGTTAAAGCAGGTTAGATTGTTTTTGAATGATACTTTGGTCTTTGGTGTTAATCTCGCAAGGCGTATTCTACTCATAACTTTTTTCTTTTCAAAACAAAAACTCCTCACTACAATTATTACTAAGGTACCACTTAAAACCATGAAATAAAATAAAAATAATCAGTGAAATAACCTAACTTTTCAAAATCATATTATAAATTCATAACATCGTGATTTTATCAACGACGTACATCCATTGATTACTTCAATACAATTTATGATATGACGTAACAGTTATCTTTCATGATTTTAACTATAACAAAAAATTTACTGATACTAGAATTCGTTAATTTTTCTTATCTAATCACTTGCAAGACAGCTGTTTCCATCTTAAATGAATGAAAAATTCCCTATCACATACCGGACCTATAATTTTGGCTTTGGTTTTTTTACCTTAAAGAACACATAAATTACTATTGACTGTCTACCCCATTTATCCAATTTGTGAACAACAATGTAATACTATTCTATTTTTTTACAAATCACTTCAATATTTTCCTCCAATACTAATTAAGCACATATTTTTCAGATACGTTTGTTTTTCGAAGTATGATTTGTTTTCTATTTCAGGAATATCACGAAGAAGATTTCTTCCTCTACATAGCATACTCTGATGAAAATGTTTATGGTGCTGATCTGTAAGGAACACAATTGATATGATTTAAATCATTTTAATGTAACAGTACACAAGACATATAAAAGTTATATTTGATAAGTTTGTTGCTTTTCTATGGTATTGATTTTAGTGATATTTTGAAAATGTATAAATGACGTTTGGGTTTTTAACATGGTGATTTAACATATATTCTACTTATGTACTGCGTATAGGTATAAGATATTCTGTAGCTAGGTCCGAAACGATGCCATCAAAGTATTAGGTTTGTTTTGGTGGTTTTCTGAGTCTAGGTATTAGATTTATTGTGATTAATTGAAAATAAAAGTACAAAAACACATTCACTATGGTTTTATGTTCCCAAGATTCGTGTACCTGTGAATAATCCACAAACAACCGTAGAACCCAAGATATGTGGGACACTTTCGCTCAACGACTCCTAAGCGAAACGGCTGACAATACTGTTGAAAAGAAGGTATACTGTGACCCCTCAAAGCCCTGGATCAACTCTAACATATCGAGGATGCTTCGTCACAAGAGATCTTTGTGGCAACGGTTTAGGAGGAGTGGCCATTCACAAGATTACGTGTCTCATCGATCCTTTTCTAACCTGCTATCTAGAACGTTACTTAATGCCAAACATGCTTATGAACGAAAACTCGTTACCTCCAAAAATAAGAAGAAGCTGTTTCGGTATCTAAGAACAAACCTGAATTCCAAAGTTTCATCACTTCAGATCCGCGACGCTGACGGTCATCTCCACATGGATGCCACCGAATCTGCCAACTTACTGGCAGAGTCCTTTAGTGGTGAATTCGTCGATGAGCCTAATGGAGACGTTCTACCGACCACTATCTGCCATAGGTGTCCCAACAGCCTTTGCGAAGTTGAGTTCCTGCCTGAAGATGTATTAATGCACCTGCGAAATCTGAAGACCTCTTCCTCCCCTGGTAAAGATGGGATGACGGCTGCTGTACTTAAAAACTGCGCTTCAGCACTGGCCCTACCATTAAGCTTGATATTCACATCGTCTTTTAGATCTCATACCCTACCCTCATGCTGGCTTAGTGCTTCTGTTACCCCTGTATTCAAAAAGGGCGACAAATCCTCCGCTAAAATTATCGACCAATAATCTCGTTCCTATCGCCGCCAAAATAGCTGAAAGAATAATATTAGATAAGCTCCTGTCATTTGCTTTCGAAAATGACCTTATCCCTAAGAATCAGCATGGATTTCTCCGTGGTCGATCAATAATGACCAACCTTCTCCACTCTCTCAACGATTGGACTCAGTATCTGGACACAAAGACTCCTGTTGATATAATCTACTTAGATTTTTCTAGGGCTTTCGATCGCGTACCACATAGAAGGCTTCTGTTTAAGTTGGAATGTATGGGAATAAGAGGCGAGTTGTTACTGTGGATTAAGGCTTTTCTCACCGAGAGGACTTTCTCTGTGCGCGTCAGTGATAGCCAGTCTCACCTTCATCATGTAGCAAGTGGAATTCCTCAAGGCTCTGTCTTGGGGCCAGTGCTGTTCCTTCTGTATACAAGTGACCTGCTCGCATTGATTTCCTCCACATGTTCAGCTTATGCCGACGACACCAAGATTTACAATACTGTCGTAAATTCTGCTATGCTTCAACGAGATCTTGATATTGTTTGTCAATGGTCAGTCAGTTGGCTTTTACCCTTAAATCTAACTTTCCTGGTCAGAGCATATTCCCCACGTTACATCAAAAGCCAAGAAACTTCTATACATGCTGGAGAGATCTTTCAAAGGATCCGATGTCAACACTTGCGCCTACATTTACAAGGCATTCGTGCGGCCAATTCTTGAATTCGCTGGCCCGGTATGAGACACTGTGCTTCTGCGCGATAGAAATCTCGTCGAATCAGTACAGCGTCGGGCTACTCGTATCCCTTTTGGAGCACGAAGACCAAGCTATGAAGATCGCCTTGAATTATTCAACCTGACCTCATTCTCTGAGCGAAGACTTCGTGGCGATCTTATAGTTACGTTCAGGATACTTCATGGTTTGATGGGCACCAACCTCATGCATCTATACCGTCTGTCGCGCAGCAATCTACGCGGACACAACTTCAAACTGCATAAGGAGCCATTTAAAACAACAGTCCGACAATGGTTTCTTCCCAACCGCATATTCAACACCTGGAATAGTTTACCTGAAAGTGTGGTTGGTGCTACTTCAGTTAATAGCTTCAAAGTGCAGTATGATAGCTGGAGGAGTGTACAAACTTTATAACTATGAACTATCTTTTTTTATTTTTTTCTATTTGATGTATTTGTGTTACGTGTCCGTACACTATATTTACTGCATGAGCTTATAGTACTGTGTACTCTGCTCATCTCAATTATCATAATAATAAAATAATGAGCATTGTGCTCATTACAATTTAACTTAGGATCTGTGAAACATGCTGGGATCCTGTGGCTGTTTATATTTGACCATTTCTCTTAAATTGGAGCTCAAATGTAATTTTGAATATCTAGAATGAGGATCACGAAACTCTAAATGCAAGCATTTTTGATAAGCTTCGGCTACCTGAGATGATCTTTAACAGCATGCTCTGCTCTGACTATTTTAAATCCATTTTTTTTATATTTTTATTTAGCCTATAAAATGTAGGTACCCTTAAAACCACTTCACGTCTATTTCAGTCTATAGTTCTTTTAAAATGCACCAGAGGGCACTAGTCGTGGCATGTACATGTAGTAGTTCAAATGGTAATTTGAATATTTGGGTCAAGTGTCACTTTTGATTTCCGTCGACATTTTTATGAAATTTCGAAAAGTATGAGGGCATTTGATTGGAAAAGCGTTACGTGTTTGTTGTGAGTTCAGTTCGGCGCTAAAATTGGATCATAAGAAAATTGGAAGTTTGATCAATATCTTTTATTTACTGGATACGTATGATCTCGTGCTGGCGATTACAAAAATGGAAGCCGAGATGAAAATCGGGATTGATACAGCTGATGAAAAAGGGAATGAGACCAAGGCTTTGGTCAAGAAGAAAAATGAAAGTTCTCGTATCTCGGTGAAGGAGTTTTTGAATTACCTGAAAACAGCTTATCAGGTATGACATTCAAGCACTATAAATATAGACTGGTCATCAAGTCTGTATTTTCTTTATCGGTAGGTGTTGTCCTAAGACTTCAAAATGTCAGCCTTTTAAAGTACGCCTTCTCATATAATGGCGTCAATAAAGACGTCATCTTTAGTCAGTGATGTTTCCGACCGAAAGTGACCGAATTATGACGTCATTTTAGCGTCATCATGTTCACTTGAATGTTGTCGCAATTTCGTTTTGACAGCTACTACATCAGGCTATTCTAGACTAATGTAATCATATGAATGTGCTGTTCAGTCTGCTAAAAATACGAGTTAAGTAGGTCGACTTTTATATCTCACAACTGTAATTGCTTTGAACGATTTGTTTAACCATAATTCATATATATGGTGTCATATTTGAAAATAAATCGAATATAAAAATATAATCCAGTTGAAGACATAACTGCGTGAGAAGTAGAGTCGACCTACTTGATGCCATTTTATAATTTGTTGCTGCAGCTACAAGATAATGAGAGTGGCGGCGAGGGAATATTGATGTCTGGTGGCATGAAAGACGCAGTTGACTGGTTGAAAAGTAAGGAGAACCAAGAGCTGTTAAGAATAAATAGTATCTGTTTGTCAAACGTCTGATACTATGTTGCAGGAAGATGCAAAAGGTGAATTTTTCACTAGTTTAAACGTGATGTGTGTATTAAAATAGATTCTATCTAATCTGTTCCCTCGGTGATAGTCTCTTATTAGTAAGGGAATATTCCAGGATCTATGTCGAATGAATTTAACGATGCCTAATTGCTTCCTGTTTCAAAAGATTCTCTTCCTTCGTGTCCTCTTCTTTTTGTCTTCTTGTTGTTCCTCACTGGGAATTTGTCCCAAAACATTTGACTTGTTGAGAAGTCGATATTAACGTTAATGTTCTACTGAAAATTCACGGCGTTTATGTGCTTTTTATTCCTTACTCATTAATGTTGGTTTCTGACAAATAAATCATGGCCCCCTGGAAGAAAAAATTGTACACATACTAATTGATAATCAAGTGTCGCGACAAGTACCAAAATCTCCACTGCCAACGTATTTTGAAAATCGTATCCCAACGTTTCCTACATGATAGCAAGCAAATGGAATTCTAAATAACCAATAATATCCTGTGAGAGATAAAAAAAACTCGTGAGACCCGCCTAGATGCCATACGCCTATAGCAGACATAGAATATTCCTCAAACGATAATTGTATTGGTTGACCAATCAGCGTCGGAGATTTTTTGTGGGACTATTTCTGCTTACTGATAAGAGCGTTCCAACGAGTTTTTTTCTGTTTTGCGAGAGAAGTGTGCGGATTTCGATTTGTATTGGTCGAGTTAGTATGTCTTGTATGTTTCTCATTTATTTTGGATCTTGCAGCTACGAGTATATTTTATACTATCATCGTATCGGTTTTCAAATTAGCCGCTTCTATATAACTAATTATTTCTGCTGATAAGAGCACTAGAAAAAGTCGTTCTGACCGACGATTTTTACTTTGAGGTAGAAATCTTTTATACCTCTATTCACTGTTGCAAAAAAATACGATTTTTTTTTAGAAAAAATTATAAACTACGATTTTTTATATATATACTAAGTGACATATAAATCCGAACACCCAGTTTAAATGGTTTTATTTTAATAAAAGTTGGTGAATGTATTTATCTTACTGTAAATAACAAGTGAAAAAATTTTCAGCCTTATCAGTTGGACATTCCGGTTTTTATACTGCTTTTTTTTTAATTCACTAACGCTCTAAAAATGAATATTTCAGCCGCAGTAAAGAATCAACGTTGGCGGATTTTGGTTCTTGACATCCTTTACGATCGGTTACGATGCCTAGAGTACGGAGACCTGTACGATTTCGTCAACTTAGTGAGTTTGATAGGGGCCGTATAGTGGGACTTCGGGAAGCTGGACTTTCTTTTCGGGCAATTGCAGTTAGAGTGCAAGAAGTGTAGACACTGTGGTTAGGTGTTGTCAGGCATGGCTTCGAGAAGGCCGTACGCAAAGAGCAAGGGGCACTGGACGCCGCCGTAGAACAACAGACCGTGAAGATCGCCGCCTAAGATTATTGGCCTTCAGGGACCGTTTCTCCACTACCAGGTCCATTGCAAATGAATGGTTTGCAGAACACGGAAGACCTATTGGCATGCGAAGTGTTTACCGACGAATGAGAAGTTTTGGCTTGTTTTCATACCGGCCACACTGGGTCCTCCCATTAACTCGAGAACACCGACGTAATCGCCTTGAGTGGTGCAGACAGCGGTCACTCTGGGATCAGGAATGGAACAGTATTGTCTTTAGTGACGAGTCTCGATTTTGTTTAGGCATGCACGATGGTCGTGCCAGGGTTAGAAGGCGACGTGGTGAAAGGAGGAATCCACAGTTTTTTGTTGAAAGACATGTTCATCACACAGTTGGAGTTATGGTTTGGGGTGCTATAGCTTATGGTTCCAGGTCACCTTTAATCTTCATCAGAGGTAACATGAACGCGCAGCGTTATATCCACGAAGTTCTAGAACCCCATCTTTTAACCTATCTTGACACCCTGGCAGATCCAACTTTCCAACAAGATAATGCCCGACCACATGTTGCAAGAGTCGCAATAGACTTCTTTCAACATGATGTCACATTGTTACCATGGCCACCAAGATCTCCCGACTTATCCCCAATTGAGCACGTGTGGGATATGATGGGTAGGAGATTGCTCAATTTGCAACGTCCTCCTCAGACTCTAGAAGCACTTCGAGAGGAGTTGGTGGTTGCGTGGAATGAGATACCACAGGAGGACATTGACCACCTGATCAGAAGCATGCCTAGGCGCGTTGGAGAATGCGTAGCACATCAGGGTGCATCCACACATTATTAAAGGTCAAAGGGCTTTAAAGCAGTGCAATAATTTTGAAATTTTTATCATTTACTTATATATTATGCTTCATTAAGTACTTGTACAAAATTTTATTAAAATAAAACCATTTAAACTGGGTGTTCGGATTTATATGTCACTTAGTATATCTGCAAACACTCGCACTTTTAAGAAAGAACCTTGAAAATACGAATTTAATGAAAGAACTGTAAAAAAATTAACCTATGAAAGGTCCACGTGTTTGCACTTTCATCCTGACTATAGATTTTGGAGACAAACAAATCGTAGGCTTCCTCCTTCTACCTAATCTAAATTCATTGGATGTTACGGATTACAGTGAATGCTGATCGCTGATCGTCCAAATCGTTTCAGAAACACGTAGTAAGAAAAGTGGTACGAGCTGCACTAATAGTAATAACGCTTCCGTTAGTAACTTGTCAGAGGCGGACTCACTGAAAAACAAATTGAGTGAGGTTTTGTCTGAAGGACTTCTGGACTCTGTTTTACCATACCTCGTACAAAATGCTGCCAACATCAAGAAGAATCTATCAGTTAAATTAAATGGTATATAAATTGCGGGACATCATTCAAGTTTTCACCACCTGTATTTTTAGAGAAGCTCTCGGTTCAGTCAAGCTCACAGTCTTCAAGTGAAAAGGTACTGTCTAAAAAGTCGTCTGGAGACTCCAGTTGTAAGTTGAGTGTCATTAAAACTGAGTAAGTATACCAGATTTCCAAGTTTTACGCTCAAATCCTCAATTATAAAATATTCTAGCTCCGAGGTGGAGATACATGTATGCGATGAGGTGAAGAATATGAAGAAAACATTTGTGTGCAACCAGAAACTACTTGTCGAAAAAATGGGATACTTTGCAGAGGTGACACTAGGTATTCTCATCGTGATATTTTAAACTACTGTCGTCACATTATACACGGTGTCCCATTTTCATCTCCCCACACAAATATTTCGAAAATTGCGCATTATAGAAAAAGAGCCAATGAAAAGTTGACAATGATCTTGATTGGGACATTCAAGATAAAGTGAAGAAATTTCAAATTTTTCACATCGTAGTAGATCTTACGTCCACACATCACCTTGACCATTGTCTTCAAGGCCTTTTCAAGCTGAAATCAAACGTTGAAAGCAATTTGTTTTAACAAAAATGTTCGACAGCTTAGTTGTGAGGTTTGTGGGAATCACCAAAAGGCGACCTTGGCGAGGACCTTGACTTTCAAGGGCAAGTCAAAATTTCCAAAGAAAAACTGTCATTATAATCTCATATTATAATGGAAAAAGCAGGAAATTTCGCGACCAAATGTGGTATTGACCTCAAATAACAATGAAACTTGACACGACCTTGACTCAGAGGTCAAGGCCCCTTTAGAAAGTAAAATTTCATTTTTTTCATTTCCAGTACACAAATGAGAGGTTTCCTTTGTAAATGTTAACTTGACCTTGATTGTCATGGTCCAAGTCACCCTTAGGTGATTCCACAAATATGCTGTCGACCATTTTGCTAGAGCCAATTCTTTTCGATGTCTTGATTTGACCTTGAAGTAGCTTTGAAGGCATGCTCGGACATAGGTACAATTTGCCACTCTTCAATTCAGCTGTGAAAAAGGGAGTCCATTTAAAAAGATTCACTTGACATTGAAATAACCTTGACGGTCATAGTCAATGTCATTAGTAAGCCCCCCTCGAAACCCTACTTTCTTTCTAGTGTGGGGATATTAAAATGGACACCGTCTATATCGCAATTATCTCCCCTCTTTCATGTTCAAAGACTAGTCATTTGTCCATTCTGGAAATTACATATACAAATTTGCTGAATTTCAGAAATGAGAGAGATAAGAAATAATTATAATCATTGTACACTGTCGAATTACAAGCCATATACATGCTAACAATAATTACACACAACGCGGGCGCGGTGACGATTTCCCGTAATTCTCCTCAGTTTTTCGTAATTTATAACTTTGAACATAACCTCTCTTCAGAAAGCACAACATATAAATAACCCGTCATAATTAGAAATCATTTTCTCACACAGCAAATATCACTGATTTTATACACATGCAGACCAATACACATAATCATCCAGATGCGATCTTGCTACTCAACCAACTTTCTTCTCAGAGATACAAACTACAGACCCGGATCACTCAGCCTCACAAAACTATGCAACCAATAATGCGCAGTTTAGTTGAGTGATTCCTCCATAGATGGACGTTCACAACGATCCTAGTGAGCAAACGTGGAATGACTGTTTGCGCCCTAAAAACTACCTAGTCTGCAAGTTGACATCTTATAGGTTTTTTTGACGTTTCATAGGTGTTTTACATGATCCCCGTGCGGTATAGGACACGTAATTCTGAAATAGGGTATAAGCACCTCATCCTGCAAATACCATTCTTCATTTTTGTGCGTAATCCATACTAATTGTATTGTTTTCCCTTGTAGGTCAACGCTTGGAGGATATGGACATATCGGTTCACTGCGACATAGCCATATTCGAATGGCTCATGCAGTGGGTGAAAAAAGAATCTCTGTTAGAGGAAGATTGGCCTAAATTGGACCCTCAGTGCGTCATACCGATTCTGGTATCGGCCGCATTCCTACAAATGGATCCGTTATTGAATGATTGTCTTTTATTTTGCCATGAACATATGAATGAGATCCTCAGGACCAGTACCAACTTGTCCTGTTTGAATGATTCTGTTCTGACGAGGTATTTCGGAATAAACTCATAGGCTTACCTTCTTTGGTGACACTAAATGTCCAAAAATATTTCTCCATCGGTCAGAAACAGATTTGATAAACGTTTATTAGCAAATGAAACGAATCCAAATCTATTTATTTTACTTCAGACGTTAATTGACGAGGAAGCATTGAAATCGCGATAATTCTCAAATAGAGATAAATATGCTTTTTTGGATGTTAAATCAGATGCATACATACGCCAAGGACGGAAAAGCTTTGTAGGTCTTGAAGATCGGTCAAAACATGAAAAATTTACTCCAGCTTCGTTTTTTGGCGTTTCAGAGAATTTTGCTCATTTTCAGAAAAAAATTGGGGGTTGTGAGGGAGGGTGGAGGGATGCAAGCAACGCATCTTTAATATCACTGAAAGGCGTTTTTGCTATTAACAAATATTACGCATATTCTGGCAACACCGCCTACCCAGCAACACGCATCCACCCACTGCTGCATCACTCGACGTCATGAGATAATCGCTACTACTATGCAATATATTTATTTCCAAATCCAGCGTCATACTTTACTGTTGGGAGACAATGGAGAGCGGGTTCACAAATTTTTTTTTTTAAATTTTCCTTAATTGTTGGAAATTTGCGGACTCCTATCAAGGCGAGGCACTAGACATGGGCCCCGTGTACCCATGGGGTATTGAAGACGGAATAGATAGCAGATAAAAGTTGACAAATAATGAATAGTGACCGTCTTCTGCTAAACTCACAGCGTACTTTCAGATTAGCTGCAATGTACACCAATACTGAAGTGGAGGCTATCAAGGACCGAAAAGACAAAATACAATCGCGACTGTTCACAAAGCTCATCATGTCATTAGGTGAACCGGACGCTGAGAGTGTTAGGGGACATTGGTGTTCTCTAGCAAGTCTTTTCAAGTATGTATCCATAATGTATTCATAAATTTAAAAGAGTCCTATCTAAAAATAAATAAAATAGAAAAACACGTTTTTGAAAATAAGATTTTATTTAGCTGTTCGTATAATGAACCTTTTTCCATCCTGCTGTACAAAACGTAACGAGCATTTATTTGAAAACTTGAGATGAAGAAGCTTCGTTATCGTTTGAATATTTCCAATATTTTTAAATTCTCAGCTTGTTTTACGAACAGCTAAATAAAAGCTTGTTTTTAAAAGCGTAATTTTGGTTTTACTTTTTATCTTTCTCTATATTACTCTCACCTATTTTATTAATAGAACTCCATAAATCATCTTAGTTAATTTTTTTATAAAATTTCCGTTGATATATATCGCCATATCGAATTTTGAATGACGTGATATTGGATCTAGGATGACGTCACTTTGCTTATTACGTTTCTCTCTCAAGCCCATTTAAATGATATCCATGTCGTAGGGGTCACGATGAAATATGTAAATCGCCATTTTGCAGCGGCTGCCATATTCGATTTAGAATGACGTCACTTTGTTCAGTATATTCCTCTCATCAAGCCCTTTCATTTGATACCCATATCATGGGGGTTACTGTATAAATGATGAATCGCCATTTTGTAGTATCCGCCATATTGGATTCAAAATGGCGACAGTTAATTAATTCTTTGTTGTCGCGCAAATCAAATGTGTGTACAAAATTTCAGCTCCATTGTTTAAGGTTAACTGGTTCATATTTGTAAAATGCATACATACCAACAGCTCAACTTAAATAAAAGCTTGTGTAAACTTTTTCAGATGTGAGAAATGCCACTTGCTTATGACTCCTCATGTGGCGCCAAATATTCCATGCATACCATCATGCATGAGATTGCAACCAGACGGATCAATTATAAGTTTGCATGTGATGTAAGTTGTTCTACTTCTACGAGTACCTTAGTCACAATTCACAATAGAAGAACATGAATGCAGAACAATACAGGGTGTCCGCAAAGTTGGGGTTTTCCTTTTCAGAAACAACTACCCTTGAAATAACAAAGGTGAGGTGTAGTAAAACGAGGGCGACCAAATAAAAAAAAAATAAAGGAAAAAGTACTCACTCTCCAGTTGACCAGAAGGGCTAAGTACGTCTCTGCCCGAAATCATACCGCTCCAACAGAAAATAAAATCAGCTGATGCGCTACCGAGCAGACGCAGGCAAACAAGGAAGGTAAAATGTTGCGTAAATAGTCTAGGTATTGCATCCCGTCCAATCGATTTGGGAGAATAAATGGTCCAATGAGCATACCGTTCACCATGCCAGCCCAAACATTCACCGAAAATGTTTGTTGAAAATGTGCCCGACTGACCAAACATGAGTGTTGCGAAAGTTATTCACCCCATTACGCGTGAACGTAGATTCGTCTGTCACCAATATGCACTTCAAAAAGTCCGGATTATTGTCATGTTGATGCAACCACCACTCACAAAACCGCACTCTTGCTGGAAAATCGTCAGGTTGAAGGGCTTGTACACGTTGGACGTGAAACGGATACAGCCCCTCTTCACGCAGCGTTTGCCACACTTTGGTTTTTGATACTTGCACTTCTCTAGTGCTTGTTGAGGGATTCTCGTCTACGCGATTACCTCTACACGCGTGACCGTAACCGTCGGTTGAAGGTTGCATACTGACCTGACACACTGACCCCGACCCAGTTCTGTCGACGGGTTGAGCTAGTGTCCTAGTACCAGTCGGGGATGTCGCGGCTACAGGACGGTATTCAGATATTCAGAGCCCTTTATCTCGGTTCCCTTAAGACATTGGTGTATATGGTACTAAGAAAAATTGCTTGTTTTCAAGATCTACACGTCGTGTAAAGGAAAACCTCAACTTTGCGGACACCCTGTATAGCGTTTTGATGATTAGTTCTGCCTGTCAGTGTAACATTCTGAAAAAAGATGACCTCACAAAAAACATCGCAGAAGGATCTTCAGTGGAATTGGATGAATTCATATTCTACGGTTAACTATTACTGATAAGCAGCTTCAAAATGAGGTGTCACATCAACTCCGATTCCACATTACATAAATAAGACTCAAAGCTGGAACAAACCTCGTATCATGACTAATTTCGGTATACTAAAAACGTATTCTTTATGTTTCAGGGATCTCAGATGGTCTCTGAGCAACCACATCGTCACTTTACGCTCCGCCCTAAAGTCGTGGCGTCGCGTTTATTGGCGGCTGTGGGGCTCCGCCCATTTCTTGTTTTGCGCCGCCTGTCGCCAGCCTTTCCCATGTACCCGTCACGCTTGGTGTCGTCATCATCCTGACCCGCCCCAGTTTTTCGCCACGGATGCTGGGTGTCAGAAACCGCCGTTGCCCGTCGGAAGGTGATGTTCGTTTGTATTTTGGATGGCCCAATATTTGAATTAGGGATACGGCACAAACCATACGGGAAATGGTGCAAATGTTTTTTGTTTAAGTTTTATTTGGCTTGTTTGCTACAGTTATATTTTTTAAAATACTACAATTACATAGCATGCATTTAGAAAAATAAAACTTGCGTCTCTAAGAATGTTCACTGACCATTAAATGTTCCTTTAGTCTTCAAATTACAAGTATACTTTATATCATTACATACCTAGTTTGCTAGATTCAAGTAATTCTTTCTGAAATATTGATCGTCCGTAGAGATATTAGCTAACTTTTTGATCCCTTTTATCTCCCAGGTGTTGACGACTTGAAGCTTCAACTTGGTTAGTAATTACTTTAAAATTAACTTATATGGTTCTAGGTACCCCTGTTGTGGCGAAAGGGCATACAGGTTCAAGGTGCTGGATGAAGGTGGCGGGTGTCAATTCAGGCAGCATATGGTTAGTAGAATTGTTTTAACGGATAAACTTTACAGATACTTAGGCCGAGCATTACTTGTCAAGCAGGTGGAATAACAGTTCTTGGTTTCGTCATAGTCAATTTTGATTTGTTTTGAACTACTTGCACACTAGGAGCGATCTGGTCAGCAAGTTGATATTTTGTCGGTTTTTTTTGTGAAATATAGTTTTTTACGTAATTATCCTATTTACAGCAGACGCTCGATAATGTAAACTAATTTAATCCAAGTGTGGTTCACATTATCGAAATGTTTACATTAGCGAACGTGATTTATATAATATTTGATTTATTAAAAGAAACGTTTAATACATACCATTTATAACAAAATAAACAAGTATTCTAACAGCGATAAGTATTTTTTTAATTAGAAGAAAAATAATTAACAATTTTTGTCTGCGTAAATTTGCGCTTAGCATTGTCTTCCAATGCCTGCGCCCGTAATTTACGAAGAACTAAAATATCCGTGTATTAAACTTCTTTTCTTTCAGCCCAATCTAAAGCTTGGTTAAAAACTTGTATAGCTTGCGCGTCAGTCACTACACTTCTGACTTCAATGGGATCGTTATCATCATCCTCACTGTACATATCCTCCTCCTTATCAGCATCATTCGTCTGCTTATCTTCGTTCGATAAATTAATATCAGCAGGAGTACAAACAATGTTGGGATTCACTGTTTTCAATAAATCAACAGCATCCAATGACACACTAATAACATTATCATTATTGGATTGCAAACGTTCTCTAATTACGCTTAAGGGGACATCGTCTTCTTCATCATCTTCATTATTGGTACAAAAGAGATTGTTCCAACATTTTAGAATAGTTTGCTGGTTAAGTTCATTCCAGGCCATATGTAAATCTAAAACAGCTTCTCGTAATGTTACTTTTTTTAAAGCCTCAGATAAGTTTTCATGATTCTTTGATAAGACAGACGAAAGTAGAAACTTCCTATAGTATAGTTTGGTGAGTCTTATTATATTCTTCTGGTCCATCGGTTGAATTAACGGTGTTACGTTGTACATGACGAAAATTGACCCATCCCTGCTCCTCAGTTGTTGCTCGGGAGGATGACTTGGTGCATTATCCAATAGTAACAACGCTTTTATTGGAAGCTTCTGTTGTTTTAGGAAACCTTTTACCTACAAATTGAAAACACATCTTCAAATTATGAATAGAGCATTTGTGATAATTGATTGTCATACCTGAGGGACAAAGCACCTGTGGAACCATTTCAGGAATATACTGCTAGTCATCCAAGCGGTTTTTGAACAGTCATAAGCAACAGGGATATTATCATTTTTAAATAAACGCGGATTTTTTGCTTTCTCAATTACCAGTGGCTTTATTTTGTGTGAACCATTAGCATTAGTGCAGGCTAGAAACGTTATTCATTGTTTCTCCGGCTTTCTTCCCGGGGCAGATTTTTCAAATGATGCAGCATAGGTTTTCTCTGGTAACATTTTCCAATAAAGGCCACTTTCATCTGCGTTGTAAATTTGTTCCATTCTTAAATCTAGCTCGGTAATTGTTTTCATCAATTTTGCTTTGAATGGTTGCACTAATTGTGGTTGTGCTGATAATTTTTCACCAGATATGGACAGCAGTCGAATTCCATATCTTGTTTTGAATCGTTCTAGCCAGCCATCACTAGTTACGAAATTTTCAGTTTCTTACAGTTTTTCATTTAACAGTCTCGCTCTCTGTTTAAGTAATTCGCCACTAACTGGGACATGATTTTCCCGTTGTTTTAAAAACCACTTATACAGGGAATTTTCCATTTTAGGTGCCTTCGCATTTTTTAAAGTTTTTCTTTTTCCCGGACCTCCAAATGCATTGCACGTTCTTTGTAAAATTTGAGTATTCATACGCTTAATTTTACAGATTGTTGCTTTCGATACTCCATATTTTTTTGCTAACTGTGTCACTCCCGCACCTAGTGCAACTTCGTCTATGATTTTCACTTTCTCACTCACTTTAAACACTTTCTTTTATAGGATATGGATGCCATAGTCGTAAAATAAATAAAATGAAATACATACGTACGTATAAACGTATCCTGACCGAGTTTGTCGTATTTTATCGCAGAGGTGAATCCCCTACATTCTACATCATAAATCGGGGACTTCCCGACGCCCGACATAAATCATCGAGGCTTCACCATTTTACCGTCGCGCTGTTTCCGTGCGCCGAGAGTGTTTACGTTATCGAGCGTACACATTGTTTACGTTATCGCGCGTTCCGTTTGATCCTATAGAACAAAGTTTGTGTTTACATTAGCGCAAGTTTTCATTATCCCGTGTTTACGTTATCGAGCGTCTGCTGTATTTAGAAATGTACTATAGTCATCTCAGGAACATAAAATATGCTCGTGTCATGTAGATTGCGATACGTGAGTTACGTGACTGCTCATGTTCACGTAATATGACAATACTGTGTATCCGCCTTAACATTACCATAGTATACGAGGGTCGTTTCAAAAATATGGTTTCCAACGTTGTAACTTTCTATCCATACGTGGTAGATAATTTATATACAGGGTGACTTTGAAGTTGAGTCATTAATTTTCAGATAATGTTTGTAGATAAACCAAAATGTGTGTAAAAATAAAAAAAAATTAAAAAAATTTTTTTACCTTGTTTTATAAAGTATCCTCCCGACAGTATTTCAGTGCGGACCTGTATTTGATCGTGAGGTCCCCTGTGTGGTCTTAAGTCACCTGATTCACGAGCCCGTTGTACTACATTAACAAAGGCACGAGGGGTTGGTTGCACTCGATTGGGAAACCGATCCGCATAAACATGAGCCATTTTTTATTTCGTTTGAGCCACGCAACAGACACCACTATTCAAACGCGTTACCGACTGACACTGACTGTATACAACTGACTAAAATAATTGTAAAAACATCGTTCCAAATTCTTTCGCTTTTTTGTTTCCGATGCGATGAACCAAACACGAGCACATAATATTATTATTGAGACAGGGCGGTACTCAAACTTCCAAAGGGCTATAACTTTGTTACTTTAATTTTACCAGAAAAATGGTAAAGGAAAAAAACATTTCTTTTGATCAGATCTACTCACTGTTGAAATAAATGACTCAACTTCGAAGTATATCAGGAAGAGAATGGGTCCTAAAACTGACCCTTGAGGTACATCATACTTCACCTACTTTTGCTGATATTACCACAGCAATCTTGACCGTTTGAAATCGGACCTGGAGAAACGATTTCAGGGAATGGATGCTGTTCTGCCTGATACTGTATGCTTCCAATTTCCTGAGTAATATACGAGGGGTGTCTCAAAAGTCCGGTTCCCAACGCTGTATCTTTGCCGCGCGTGATGCTAGGCGAAATCTGGCACACCGTCGTGTTTGTCGGCTCTCCCACCACCGATCCCAGCAAGAGGCGCCTATATGCGACGCTCAGTACTCAGACTGGTGCGAAATTCGTGCGGTATCTGATTTTTTGCCCACAAAAATTTGTAACCCATAGAAATTCATCGCCAGTTGAGTGAAGTATATGGAAAAACGTATATAATCAGTCAATATGCGCAGAGTTTTCTAATAGCCGGACGGAAATCCACGATTAGCAACGAAGCGGGAGGCTGGGTGTGGCGAAGATTGAGCAATCTTGCTCGAAGATCGGCGAATCACAATCTGGAACAGCCTTGACATAGCGTTTTCGGAATTAAAGGAGCACCTCAGCGGTAAACGGTTCGAGACGGACGGGGAGTTACAAGTTACACGTAAACGTAGGAAAAAATGGCGACTATGTGGAAAAAAATAGCTCAAAGATGAACGTTCCAATGGTGAATTCGTTCTTTCAAATAAAAAATTGCTTGTGCCAGAAAAAAATGTGCGAACCTTATTTTTGAAACCACCCTCGTATTTACATTTTCAAGGTATGTTCGATGGATATCAGAGAAACTGCTATATACAGTATGTTGGAGAGCTATAGACATTTGATAGAAGAGGAACCTCCTCAATTGCTGTTTCCAGAAAGGCTAACGCGGTTAGTGGCAAGAGGTACGTATAGTAAAACATTTCTGATATATATTTTTTTATCTAACGTAAATATAAAACTAATGGAATTATAATTTGATGCATAATATACATAGACAATAAATTAAGCTATCAAATTAAATATGTATATCTTCTATACATTCTATGAAACACCAGAAAAGCCCAGTGTCCAAGTGATATACGAGGTTTGTCCGTAAATACTTATAAAAAATTCAGGGCGTCGCTCTATGCAATCCCCTCAAAATCAAGTTTCTTGCAAAGCTAAGCAAGAATCGTCGTGAGATTTTTGAAAAAAGTTTACGTAGATAATTCTCTGAAGGAAGCAACCGTCAACAAGTGGTTGAAAAGGATTCGGGAAGGTCGAGATGACGTGAAAGATGGCCAACGCTCAGGATGCCCCTCCACGTCGAGCTCTAAGGGAAATGTTGAACGAATTCGGGGCTGTCGATTGAGAGTTAGAATGTTAGCCGAGGAACTGTCAATCCTCAAAACAATCGTGCACGAAATTCTGACAGAACAACTTGAAATGAAAAAATTGTGCGCGAAAATCTTTCCGCAGCTCTTGACCCCAGAACAGAAAGCATCAACGTTGGGTTGCTTGCTGTGAGGATTGGTCGGAAGCAGAGGGAAGCGGGTCGTGGTTCTACGAATCGATGTGCAGCTGAAATCTGAAGGCATGGAGTGGAAGTAAGCAGGGTAACCGATAACAAAAAAAGTCGAATAAATAAAGTTATTATTCCACTTTTATACGTATTTTCCGGGACAAACCTCATATCCCCGTCCCAGAAGTCGACGTCAAGTCGAAACCGGGTGATAGGCAAAGTCATAACAGCTATCAGAAAAATATTTAAAAAAATTTTATGTGTGTTTTGAAAATTATAGGTCTTTGAAAAAGATATAGAAATTTCACACCCTACGGCAGTCTGTCAACTCGTGTTACTACAAATATTAACTTTTTTTGGATTTTATTTTAACAATGTAATGATGAATAATGCATCTTCAAACTGGTGTCTCAACCTTACTGCCAACTTTTCTCGTTCAGGAAAAATTGCCACTTATTTCCCAACCAAGTATTCCGAAGTAAAACTTTGCTCAACTTTAACTGGCTGTACTGGGAAAAAATGTACTACGAGGGTTTGGCAAGTAACCTTAAAAGTTGGCGCATTTAATAAGGATTCCAAAATGGTATAACACTTAGAAGATTACTCGTTAACTTATGCACAATTTTTATTTGAAAAAAAAACTGATGAAAATTTTTCAAAATTTCCTAATTAAACAGCGATTATGAAAACGCACAAGGACCCTTAAGGATAACTGTTGCACAACAAGTGGGCGTCAAAATGCTGCTGATGATGATTTACCTTTACAGCAAATGCTCAAACTGTTTTCCTTCAGCCGCAATACACGCTCGACATCTTCTTAAAAAAGATCGGGTTATTAAACGAGCGAATCCACGGTTATTAACAAACTCAGCTGCTTCCAATAGTCTTTGCCGTAGCTCAGCTACATTTTGAATCGGCTTGAAATACACTTTTTCTTTACAGTTCCCCAGTAAAAAATCTAAAGGATCCATACCACGTACAGCGTGTTCAAGCTCTTCTGCCCCGGGATTATGAGCCCCGAGTTGCTTTTTGTCGCACATGTTAGAAAGACACAGGGAAGATCCACGGTTCTTTGAAAAAATTTTATGGTCAGATGAGACCACATTTAAGAAAGATGGGTACATGAACCTGCATAACTTACACGAGTGGCACGTAGCAAACCCACATTTGATGAGAGAAGATAAATCTCAATATCGCTTCAAGATAAACCATTGGACAGGAATTTTAAATAGTAAAATAATCGGTCCGTTTGAGTTCTCAGAGACTTTGACTGCTGAGGTTTATTCAGTTTTTTTGCAAAATCATTTAGAAAATTTATTGGAGGACGTGCCACTGAGTATTTACAGGGACATATGGTTTCAGCATGATGGCTGTCCCAGCGCACTATGCACTCTCAGTGAGAGAGTATCTCGATCAAAACTTTCCAGGCAGATGGATAGGGCGGTCTGGTACAATACCGTGGCCAGCCCGGTCACCAGATTTGAATCCGTTAGATTTTTTTTTACTGGGGAACTGTAAAAGAAAAAGTGTATTTCAAGCCGATTCAAAATGTAGCTGAGCCTACGGCAAAGACTATTGGAAGCAGCTGAGTTTGTTAATAACCGTGGATTCGCTCGTTTAATAACCCGATCTTTTTTAAGAAGATGTCGAGCGTGTATTGCGGCTGAAGGAAAACAGTTTGAGCATTTGCTGTAAAGGTAAATCATCATCAGCAGCATTTTGACGCCCATTGTTGTGCAACAGTTATCCTTAAGGGTCCTTGTGCGTTTTCATAATCGCTGTTTAATTAGGAATTTTGAAAAATTTTCATCAGTCTTTCTTCAAATAACAATTGTGCATAAGTTAACGAGTAATCTTCTAAGTGTTATACCATTTTGGAATCCTTATTAAATGCGCCAACTTTTAAGGTTACTTGCCAAACTCTCGTAGTACATTTTTTTCTAGTACAGCCAGTTAAAGTTGAGCAAGTTTTACTTTGGAATACTTGGTTGGGAATAAGTGGCAATTTTTCCTGAACGAGAAAAGTTGGCAGTAAGGTTGAGACACCCGTTTGAAGATGCATTATTCATCATTACATTGTGAAAATAAAATCCAAAAAAAGTTAATATTTGTAGTAACAGGAGTTGACAGACTGCCGTAGGGTGTGAAATTTCTATATTTTTTTCAAAGACCTATAATTTTCAAAACACATACATAAAATTTTTTTAAATATTTTTCTGATAGCTGTTATGACTTTGCCTATCACCCGGTTTCGGCTTGACGTCGACTTCTGGGACACCCTGTATATTATCGGCAGCCAATTACGCTTCTTCATAGCACCAGAACTCCATATAACGTAACCTTCGCATTGGATATAACTTGTTTCACGCTGTTATCTCGAATGCCTAAGCACTCCCAAACGCCAGAAAAACTTTACCGTTTTACGTTTTCCTTAAACACATCAGCTGTATCTTCATCCTCGCTTTGCACTGCCTCAGCACATCCTCCACCAACGCCTTCTCGGAATTCTCCAATTTCGGTACGACGTCCAACGCTTCCGCAAAATGTCCCTTGGCCGCGTCCGAAGTGTAATCTTTGAAAAACTCCTGCAGCGCTTGTATATCCGCTCTCGCCTGTTGCGCGCCCTGTCTGCTAAATTTCTGCACGCACGACATCACTCTGTACAGTTCCTCCGCGACAGTTTCTACTATGCGTGTCAGGACGTTGTCCAGTAACGCGCTGGAAACGCCGATGACTTCAGCGTGCACGTTGATGAGATTGTTGATACATTCTTTGGCGTACGGACGGATATCTGTCGGAGACACTGTCACATCCCAGTCGAAACGGCCTAAGTACATCGACGGTTCGATGGTGCCTACCAGCGGGTCACTTTTTTGTTCCAGATATCTGTCCAGGATTGTACGCTCCAGATTCTCTAATTTTGTCTTGGCGTTGTTGACGCAGCCGTCCACGGAAGGGAAGCCGGATTCTTTGAATTTTGCCAGAATCGTGTCTAGAATGGTGCTTTTGGTGAACATGCAGTTTGACAATGTGATGAGCAGACGATGTTCCCATATTGGGATGTTTTGCTTTGCCTTGCTAGTTTTTTGTGAGCTAACAGGGGTGCCTATCAGCTGAGAGACGACAGGGGAGCTATCTTCCCCGTCTTCTAAATCCTCGGAGAAGGAAAGCGTGCTTAGGCTGCCGTGGAAGGCTGATAAAATGCTGTCGACCTGAAAAGTAATTTCGTTGGTTATCGACCAAGAAATAGCCTAGAATCATATTAGACGAAAATATCCCTGGTTTGTGAAATGTAAAGTCTGGTTTATTGCTGCAAGGTATTTAAAACATGGAATGAGAAAACGTGCTTTTGGGATTCAATCGAAAGTGTTGACAGGAACGAAAAAACTCTTCATATATCATTTTTAGGTATTTATGAGACCTACAAAATGAGACTACACGTAAAAAAATTTTTTATAGCAAATACACTAGTTTACCTTTACCAAAAAAAGATGGGTTACGTTTTTTCTTCTAAACAAATTCAAACATTTCGTATTTGTGAATAATGGTAGACACATCCGCTTTGTTTTAAAATGTGTATGATTTCTCCCTGGTCGATCAATAATGACCAACCTTCTCCACCCTCTCAACGATTGGACTCAGTTGATATAATCTACTTAGATTTTTCTAGGGCTTTCGATCGCGTACCACATAGAAGGCTTCTGTTTAAGTTGGAATGTATGGGAATAAGAGGCGAGTTGTTACTGTGGATTAAGGCTTTTCTCACCGGGAGGACTTTCTCTGTGCGCGTCAGTGATAGCCAGTCTCACCTTCATCATGTAGCAAGTGGAGTTCCTCAAGGCTCTGTCTTGGGGCCAGTGCTGTTCCTTCTGTATACAAGTGACCTGCTCGCATTGATTTCCTCCACATGTTCAGCTTATGCCGACGACACCAAGATTTACAATACTGTCGTAAATTCTGCTATGCTTCAACGAGATCTTGATATTGTTTGTCAATGGTCAGTCAGTTGGCTTTTACCCTTAAATCTAACTAAGTGTTGTGTCCTTCACCTCGGGAAGACAAATCCGCGATTTACATACAAGATCTCTGACCACAACATCGAAGCAGTTTCCAGCCACACTGATCTGGGCGTTGTAGTCAACGATCATCTTTCCTGGTCAGAGCATATTCACCACGTTACATCAAAAGCCAAGAAACTTCTATACATGCTGGAGAGGTCTTTCAAAGGATCCGATGTCAACACTTGCGCCTACATTTACAAGGCATTCGTGAGGCCAATTCTTGAATTCGCTGGCCCGGTATGGGGCACTGTGCTTCTGCGCGATAGAAATCTCGTCGAATCAGTACAGCGTCGGGCTACTCGTATCCCTTTTGGAGCACGAAGACCAAGCTATGAAGATCGCCTTGAATTATTCAACCTGACCTCATTCTCTGAGCGAAGACTTCGTGGCGATCTTATAGTTACGTTCAGGATA